GCCGTATGATGAGACCAAGAAAAAGAGCTGGAATAATTTATACATCATTAACTTGAAACAACGATATACATCATATCCATAAAAATATGGTTTATCCATGTGATCAAGACAATTTTATTTGCTGATAATATCTCTGTGATCAAGTCATTTGCTTATTTATCCTTATACGCAGCATAGCTTTGCAAGATAAGGTAAAGCTGTTTGGGATGATCGAATCGACAAGTTAATCGTAAGATAAGGCAAAGACAAGGCATATCAGTTGAATTTCGCCTGATAAGTAAGAAAAACTCAGACCTTCATGGCGGAGTTGTAAAAAGATATGAAGTTGGTGAAAAGATCGAGATATCTGCTCGTGAACACGGCCGCGAACATCACCTGCGATCGACCCGAGATACCGGCTACAGAGCGCGTCTTCCACATTTTTATCGCGAGGATAAATATCGCGATCAGATGCGCCAAATCCGCGGTCAGTCGAAAGATATTCATACTGCCAAAAAGACCCGCGTTATCGGAATTCGGTACCCTGAAAAGCTCAAACGGCTCAAAAGCAGAAGTGGAGCAGAAGGCATACACGTGCAAAACGTCTATCAAAAAACTAACGACTGAACATAAAGCGGTAAGAGCACGCCCATCAGAACAACGCACAATAACCGCACAACAATACCACTGCTAATCTAGTATTTGAGGGGGTCGAAAGCAAGCAATTTCACATAAAACTATTCAAAATTTGTTTCAAACACATAAATTCATTGAAACACAAAAATTTGCAAGAGAGAAAAATTGTGGTTCACAATCGAATCGCTGTTGGTTCAAAATGACAGCCAGCTAAAACGCCACGTGTCATTTTGCAATTATCACTGAAACTGAACGATTCGGTGTCAGATTTGAGGTGGCCAAAACAAATTTCAGTGATTTTTTACAGTCTACCGGTACGGTATTTCCGGTACAAGCGAAGAACGTGTGAAATGAAATAAGAACTCGAATGTGCGGAAGTGAACGTCGGCGAAGAACACCAACAATTTTAAGAGCAAAGAAGCAAAGTACACTGTGCAATATAGCACTTCAAAAGCTTCATCTCGGCAATATTTGCAGCCTCCAAGTTGCCGACTCTGAATTAATTGTTTTGTGAGGAATCGATGAGAATTCACGCATGCTCGATGGCTGTCGACACTTTTCCATGAACTTTTCAAATTGTTTCGTTAAATGTTCGGAAGGAGTTTCGTTTCACGTTTCAACCGTCCATCAATAGTTGCTCATAATGCAGCAAGTTTTTCGTTCATTTCTTACTCTAAGCACCGCATCGATTGAAACCTTATTGCTTTATCATATAGGAGCGCTGTCGGTTGAAACCGATTCGTAGCTTGGCTCATTCACCTGCATTTCGAGTGAATTGAGTGAGGTGGAATGTGCTGTCGCAATATGGTTGTAAGAGATGCGGGCAAAGGACGAGTTTTAAAAGGATGGCAATGAGGCGATAAGTGCAGGTTCGCTGTTGTGGCCAAACTTTTTGCTTACGAAAACGATAACGAAATTGCTCTTGGGGGGTAAAATTCTCGGTGAAGATTGGTCGGAAATGTGGATGCTTTAAGGTGATCGATTTTAAGCAGATTCTCGTGATCGCACACCTCTTGACCGCACACTTCATTACTATCGAGTGCCTTCGTTTAATATTTCAATGTACACATAAAGTGTTTCAGTTGAGGCAATATCACAGAGTTTACTAAAAATGGCGTTGTCAACGAATTTTCCGCATAACAAGAAACGAACCCTTTACGTTGGTGGTTTCGGTGAAGAAGTGGACGAGAAGGTTCTGAATGCCGGATTTCTGCCGTTCGGTGAGATCGTTGGTATATCGATACCGATGGATTACGAAACTGGAAAGCACCGAGGTTTTGGGTGAGTATTCATTCAGTGATTATTTCTTTCATATCGTCTCCATACGTTCACCGTATACTGTTCGGGTTGATATGAAAATGCGTGAGAAGGATTATGTAGGATGCCCGAACTTGAATAGTTTAATTTGTCGAAATTTTTTGTCGGAGGAAAACCGAGGTATATTGCATAGTACCCTAGCTGCGAGTAAGCCGAAGAAAACCACCTCGATTATGAGTTCATCATCTTAAGCTTTTCGACTTTTCGATTACTACAGATTTGTTGAATTCGAGTTGGCAGAAGATGCAGCCGCCGCCATTGACAATATGAATGATTCGGAAATGTTCGGACGGACGATACGATGTAACTTCGCGCGTCCACCGAAGGCGAACGAACGAAGTCAACGACCGGTATGGGCCGATGACGAATGGCTCAAAACGGTATTACATATGTCATTCGAATTCAGCTTGGGGTGGTTTTGAACCCATCTGTGAAAGGGGCGATGTTGCAAGCTTCAGTGTTAACTCTGGATGAGTCTCATTAGCAGTCTTCTTCAAACAGTCGCTTTTGTGAATGTTGTTCGGTAGATAATGACTAAGATATCGTTTGAGTCATGAACACTTTCTCTTATAGTATGGCACGGGTGCACATGGACAAGGCGAGGCAGTTGAAGCAGATGNGTCTTCTTCAAACAGTTACTTTTGTGAATGTTGTTCAGTAGATAATGACTAAGATTTCGTTTGAGTCATGAACACTTTCTCTTATAGTATGGCACGGGTGCACATGGACAAGGCGAGGCAGTTGAAGCAGATGAGGAGGCTGGTCCATCAATTGGTGCCACAAAACCAAAATTGCCTCGAGTATATTTTGGTATCCGAATCGGAATAAGGTAAACTGTCATTTTCCTTTACGAGTACATATCATTGAACAGTTGAAGTCTTTTAATATTCGATTCACTGTATTAGTTTTGAGCCATTTTACATATAGCCACGTTAATCAATACGGTATTCAGACATATTTTCACGGATAGCCCTGCGATCATTCTCATCCAAAATCTTGTCTTAAGATTGCAAAAATGTTCAATTTTAAGGTACATCGGTCGTATTGTCATTGAATTACGTTCCGATGTTGTACCGAAGACAGCCGAAAATTTTCGACAGCTTTGCACGGGTGAAAAAGGATTTGGATATGAAGGTGAGCGGATGCGATCTTCTTGAATTATGCCGATTCTTTATACATTTTTAGAACGCGTACGCAGATGATCGGTTTGAGATTTTGAACTAGTGTGGTATTTTTGAGCATAACGGAGAGTTCTGAAAGATGTCAGCGAAAATGCATTTCTGACTTTTGCTTTATAGATTTTGATCTGTTTTTAGGTTCACATATCCATCGAATCATCCCACAGTTTATGATACAAGGAGGTGATTTCACAAGAGCTGATGGAACCGGTGGGAAGTCAATTTATGGTGCAAAATTCCCAGATGAAAACTTCAAGGTTTTTTGTTCATATTCAAGTTCTTATTCTTTTTTGTTCTCATTCAGTTGTATGGTTATGATGGTTCAATTTTTTGACTGGTTTTTGAAAGTAGTGGTTGGCGATCGTGTGAGAATGTGCTTGTGCTTTTAGTTGAAACACACGATGCCCGGTACGGTTTCGATGGCAAACTGTGGCCCAGACACGAACGGTTCTCAATTTTTTATTTGCACTGAAAAGACGGAGTGGTTAGATGGAAAGCACGTTGTGTTCGGTTATGTCGTCGAGGGAATGAACGTCGTTCGACAGATTGAACAGCAAGGCACCAAGTCTGGAAAACCAATGATGCAGGCAGGTTCCCTCTTCATTTTTTTCACTCTTTTGGGTTCCGAACATTGAAGCATCTTGAATTTAACATGATAAAAATTTTCTTTAATCAGTTATAAACGAATGATTAGAAACGGAAGAAGAAAAATTTCTGTTATCTCAAATAAACAAGAGAATTCTCCTGTAATTTTTAATGAATTTCAGGTGACAATTGTTGAATGCGGTGAAATTAAACAGCAGCAGGAGAAAGCAAGCGAAGCAGTTCCGGAGCAGGAGAAAACAGACGAAGCAGTTCCGGAGCAGGAGAAAACANTATTGTTATGATTTGCTGTTGACTGATATTATTGTATTTATTGGTATAAGGTTGTGTTATATTGTTTAATGCATGCTTGTTATGTACACTTGTTTTGAAATAAAATGTGTTCGAACGCAATTCTTCGACTGATCTCATCTCTTGTTAAAGAGTGAGTCGTTCACATCGACTGTTTCATTATCTGTTTGTTTTGCTTCTCGATTCCTTGTGCTTTTTCCGAAGTAGGTTTGTTCCTTCTGGAGGAGAAATGTGGAATTTGATGTTCAGTGAGGAAGCCATCAAAAATTACAAATTTTATTTATTATTCTGTGTTTTCGTCTCCTTGGATGATGTTCATGTTGATTTTGTGAAAACGATAGTCTGTGTTTGTATGGAGTGCGTATGTGGTTATTGATTGCACGTTGATCTACTGCAGATTGATAGAGATGTCGTCTCGCGGTCGTGACAAGACCGGTGGTAACACCGAACCAATGCCATTCGTTCGTAAATTTGGAGCCGCCGCAGCGGCGGCCGCAGCATCGGGTGAATCAACCGCATCGTCGGGGGCAACTGATAATAAGTCGTCAGCCATTGAAAGTGGTCAGTTTTCAGTAAATCATTTACAGATTCATGACGATTGCGAATGTGGAAGTCCACGGGGATATATGTTTGTTTATTTCAGTACTACCTGGGAGAAGTTAAGAGCGAAGTTACTTTCATTGTAGAACATTTTTCGGTCTATCAGAAATTATTTCTTCCTATAATATGAGGTGATTCTGGTTATTGGTTAGGCTGTTCTGGGTGATATTAGACGAATATTGAATCGGCCTCATGTTGTTATCATTATCATTACCATATATCACTACATCGTGAGGTTTTCATCCCTGAAAAAG